GGCTGCGGTGAAAGTCTTACTACAAATGCTTTGAAATGTTTGATTGACTCTAGTTAGGAGAAAAAATTTTACAAATTGACTAATCAAAATATTTTAAAGCACATATATGTATGCAATATAACATCACGTTAATTATCAACATTGGAAAATTTTCTCTAAGCAATTCCTTTCTAAGTGAATTAATGATAAATGTATTATGTAATACACTTATAGTATTTTGTTAATATTGATAAAATTAAATTTTTTTATTTAATATATAGAGGAAAATTAGAAGAACAATGAATTATATAGTTAGAATCACAGGAAATGTTTTTAACTTTATAATTTATTGTTTTTAATTTTTTTTTTATGTGTCAAAAAAATAGTTTTATTTATGTTAACAATACCTGCAGTATTTTAATTTTTTATTTATATTTATATATATATATATATATTGAAAGAAATATTTTGGATTTAAAATAGTTTAAAATGAACGAATCAGAATTTTCTGCTTAAATCTACTAAATTCTAATTGAGATAACTGGGATTCTGATTGATATAATTAGAATCTTCTGATTCATTTATATTCAAGCAGATATTATTTATTTCGATGTGGAGAGAAAAATTGGAAACAATGAATTATCCAATAAACCAATAAGAAACTTCAGTGAGAATAAATTGTAATAGATTCAGATTTTTTAAAGTACGTATTCGCAAATATTAAAATCAATTCTTTTTAATCTGAATGCATTTTTATTTTATTTATATGGATTACGTGAAGTACATTTCTATGCCTTTTAACTTAAAAATAATATTAACCCTTCTGTGCCTCGTGAATACTTTCCAATTCAATTGAATTCAAAAAAGTTGTTATTTAAAATACGTATTCGGATAGATAAAATTTCAATTCATTTTTATCTATTTTTGCTTATTGTAGGGATATATTTAGTTAAAAACTTTGTTTTATAAGCGATCCTGTCTATAATTTATATATATTTTCTCTATGCATTATTTAATAAGTTAATTGCCGATTAATTTATTATTAATTTAATCGAGGTAGTCCCGTTTGCGCGGATCCCTTGACACCTCTCACATTCGTTTTTCCCGCGCAGTGCAATACTTATCGTGCTTAATTGTGCTTAATCCACGCGTAGAGTGACGACTCGTGGCTACGCCAATCGCATATGACCACGATCGCAATGGCGGCGTGGCTGGACAGTTTTGTGTTATCGGTTGGTTAGGAGTCGATCTGGCGGTGCCGAGTACGTTTAGTCTCCTTATTTACAGCAAAACACGTCGTACGCAGTGGAACCGATTTTTTTCTCCCTTAGTCATGTACAGTCTTCTGATAGTGGCACTGCTGGATCTAACTCTCGATGGTACGTGCACCCCCTAACCTTCTCTTTCACCCTTGCGTAAACTAGCCGTTCATCTGTGCGAACGATTGATAATGCCTGTTTTTTTTTAGTGGTCGGAAGTGTCTCGCAAGCGGAGATTACTAAACATTTGGAGTACGGCAGGGAATTCTTGGCGAAGGGTCAGCTACAGGATGCGCTGTCACACTACCATGCAGCCGTTGGTAGGTTGAATCGCAAATTTGCATCCGCTCTTTAAATGTTTTGGCGAGAGTGATTTTCTTGCTGACAGCTGATTTTGTGCCAGAGAGGAGGACAATGGTATAAGAGTTCAAAGCTGAAGTTCTTTCAGAGGGTGACCCGAGCAATTATTTGACATATTATAAGAGAGGTACAGTTTATTTAGCATTGGGCAAAGCCAAGTTTGCTCTCCTCGACCTCGATAAGGTTCTAGAGCTGAAGGTGGACTTTACACCAGCGAGACTGCAACGTGGTAATATTTTACTCAAACAAGCCCACTTTGATGAGGCTGAAAATGACTTTCATGATGTGGTATGTTATTCTTCATGTTTATAATAGTTGTTTTTTGGCCAGAAACACAGATGGCCCAATATAATACAGTGAATTAGAGATTCTATAACAGAGCCATGAGCAATTCTGTCAAAACAAAAGTAAAAAAGAAATGTATATGTACAGGGTGTTTCTTAATAATGCTTACTAATGATATAGTGCTCCCTGATAAAAATAAAACTGAGTCAAAACTCTATTTTGCAAAATGCTTGCAATAGTTAACAATA